AGAACTGTGGCTTTTTACTGTAAAAGTTATCACTACTGTATGTTTTACCACTTTGAAGGGTGTTGTAGACAGGAGGTCGTGAGTCTGAGGTTTTACGGCCGCATGGCTATTGCTGTCGCCACGGACTGTGCAGGTAAGGATATTCAATGTTGCTCCCGACAGAAATCACCTTACCGGGGTTTGAATCTGGGTCTCACCCATGAGAGCCCGTCGTTGTAACATGGCAAGATACATATGCTATCCGCAACCGTGATTCCTAGTATTGGACTCTTTCTTCGAAACAGTGTGCCTATGGCTGCGAATAATTTACCGCTAAAAGGTCTATTTATATATCCTTATTCGTTTCTTTATATACAGATCTGAATTTTCAAGTAACCTGTTTGTGTATTGTACGACAGGTACACTTCTTACGACACAGGTACAACGTTAACTCCATTTCGGGGCAAGTAAAAAGATTCGATACTAAAAAAAAATAGTGTTAATATGAGCAATTAAGTTTGTAGTTATTTAAAAAACACATTAAGTATTTAGGTTTCAGTGTTTGATGCGGCTTATTGTTTAATCAATAGACAAGGTGTGTGGGTAGTAATATTTTAAGATCTGGCAGTGGTTGTAGGTGAGATATAAGTTTTTAACTGTTGGTTTCATTTTTGCTGTTACTTTCAGTTTCAAACGACGTGCCCTGTTAGCCAGCCAGGCCCAGGGGCCATCTTGGTGGAGTGGAAAGAAGGAGAGATTTGAATACGCAGTGGTAAGACCTGTATTTATTAGTTACATATTTATTTTTAAATGTAAATATGTCTTAATATGGCAATATGTGTTGCCTAATTCACCCAGCTACTGGGTTTAGTCATAACGCGACACTGTGAGCTGCGGATTTAATTTGGGATTATTTTCGCGGTTGGTGTTAGAATCTGTAGATTAAGAAAATGGCGAATGGTCTGTAACCTCATAATTGGAGGTGCCTTATGGGATTAATCGCGTGTGCAGCTACTGTTCTGCTGCATTTATGGTGTCGGACTGTTTGTGTAAACACTTCTGACGGCTGTCTAATGCACTGTATGCTTGTGTATGCTGTTGGATTTGCCGAAACTGCAATCTGTGCCAATTTGTCCACAAGAGATCGTTATGTGAATTATGTTTCGTTGGCACAGGAACAGAGTAATTTATCTCCAGTTGTTACCTTTCTTTAGCATTTCAACAATGATTCCTTTCTTCCTTTGTTATGGAATGATTTTTTCCTTTTGTCCATGTTCAGTTAAACAAATGTTTCACTCGGTTTATGGTTCTTCTGCCTTGAGCATCTCTGCTGTAATATCACCAAGCTGAAGAAAAAGAAGAAGAAGAAGAAGAAGAAAAAGAAGAAGAAGAAGAAAAAGAAAGAAAGAAGAAGAAGAAAAAGAAAGAAGAAGAAGAAGAAGGAGAAGAAGAAGAAAGAAGAAGAAGAAGAAGAAGAAGAAGAAGAAGAAGAAGAAGAAGAAGAAGAAAGAAGAAGAAGAAGAAGAAGAAGAAGAAGAAGAAGAAGGAGAAGAAGAAGAAGAAGAAGAAAGAAGAAGAAGAAGAAGAAGAAGAAGAAGAAGAAGAAAGAAGAAGAAGAAGAAGAAGAAGAAGAAGAAGAAAGAAGAAGAAGAAGAAGAAGAAGAAGAAGAAGAAGAAGAAAAAGAAAAAGAAAGAAAGAAAGAAGAAGAAGAAAAAGAAGAAAGGAGAAGAAGAAGAAAGAAGAAGAAAAAGAAGAAAGAAGAAGAAGAAGAAGAAGAAGATTGTTATTTGTCATCTAGCACTAAAAATGAAAACAAATGGACATGGGAAAGCAGGATAAGAAACACTTAAAAGACCAGAGAGGCCAAAGGTGCTGACTGCATTATATCAGTAAAATCGACGAGATTGCACGATACAACGGAATGATAGGACTGATACTAGTCCATAGTGGCGTATAAACTGCAGATAGGATGATGATGATGGTAGTGATGATGACGATGATGATGACTAGCCGAAATTGTTACTGACATGCACGATTTCCATATGTAAGTCTTGGTCACTAACTTGTAACTTGTTACAGTTGTATTTATATCGTCACTGTCGCGTGCACTTGTTTATCTTCAACTTTCAATTCTTTGTTCTAGCCAAGAGAACGGCAGGCTACTTTAGCTCTCCGCTGATCCCCCACTTTAAGGACTTGAGATGTGTCGACCAAGTGAATCGTTCATCGAAGTACGACTACTTTCTACGTTGAATCTACATGCACCAGTGTTGTTTGTCGTCAGAGTTTGATGCATCAGTCTAGCATTTGAGATTCGGCAGAACCCTGTGGGATATCATACCTTCTCTTCTTAGAAACCAGAGGACATTAGAGAGGAGGAGTTTGCAGCACCAAGTTCTCAAGCTTGTCTCCCTTGCTTTATCAGCGCGATCTGCTGTCTCGTTGTTAGTTGAAAGCTGCATATGTTAATCTCCAATTGAGATTCCACATTGAAGGCTTCTTTTAACATACAGTTCTTATGCCGAGGGAAGTATTTCTCAAACCAAACAGCTCTGGCCATGGAAGTAATAAACGTCGAGCAGAACTATCTCTGGTCTCAAAGTCCGCCTGCAAAATTAGTTTCTAATTTGGACGGGCAAAGAAGCGAACTGATGTTACCAAATGTTTCACAATTAACCTACGATAACCCGCTAAATTCCGGAGAATCTTGTGAGAAATGCTTGTGGGTGTGTGAGAAGAATGAAGGCGACAGCTTGAAATCTGCAGACAATGAAAATATTTCTGAGAACAATAACAAAGAACTGAATTTACATTCCTCACAAGAGTGTGATCTGCAATATTCTATCAAAACTAAACAACAAAACATTAATAAAGGCGTTGTTTTTAAAGGCAGCAACTACAAAAATGTAGATCTTTTCTACATTTCTCAAGGCAGCAAGAGTAAATCATGTGACACTGACGGGTATGATGATCTTGTAAATGACGAGAACAGATCGAGTAGCGTGAACAACATAGTTCACAGGGCCCCTGTGCCTCGACAAGACAGCGTGGCTGTTGACTTCATGCTGGGCGGTCCTAACGAAACATTTCGTTCACATGTCACAGAAATTCAGAGGCTTACTGGAAATGCACAAGAGAAAGAAATTATCCATACACACAATGACAAAAACATAACACGAGTTCATTGTGAAGCAAAAGAAATAGGTCACGGTTCAAGTGATCTTCAACGACAAAACCCAACAAAGCGAATCTTACTCTCAGAAGCAGATCCAAAAAAATCCCCTGAACAATGGAAAATGGTCGGCAAAAATCAGTTCTTTTCCAAATCCATTGCAGATTCAGAATGGGGATTTGCCGATAAAGCTGTTCAAGAAATGTGTAGCCATGTTGGTTCAGAACAGATCAACATGAGTAAAATGCATTCTGAAAAGAAAAAGATTAAATCCTATTCTTTTGCAAATGTTGACAACTCAAATGGATCCAAGAACTCTGATCCCACGAAGCAAACCAAGTCCAGTTTTGGCAAGGCCAGTGGCACAGTATGGACCCAGTTTTCCCGGTACGCCAAGTTCTGTTTCATTATTGTCGTCATGGTGATGTTAGTACATCTATACATAAGAGTCGCCGCACTTGAGAGCAGCGTCGTTTCCTCGGAAACAAGAAGATGTCAGTGCAGCAAGGTGAGTGAGTTCACACAAAGATAGTTTGAGTAGAATAGGAATCGCAAAAGAACGCGTACATCACTATGATCAACTTATTGTTGTTGTTGCTGTTGTTGCAAATTGTCAATTTTTCAATTTGGCTCTCTCACTTTGTGCACAAACGGATAGTAATTTGGTTAGTTACTGGGCTATATAGGTAATTAGTTAGCTAATAAACGAGTAATTTACTATCTAGATGGCTAGTCTGCATGCTAGCCAGTTATCTTGCTGGTTAGAGAGCAGACTTTTTCTCGAAAATGACCTGGCTCCCAGGTTGACCCAGTCTTAAATGTTTACCAGGTGGGATCTTGGGAGGTAAAGGCGATGGGCGTGATATTGATTCTACCACCCACCGAGTGCCGATTGGTCTACGAAATACGGGTCTAGCCCTATATGCCCAAAACGTCTGAAGGCGTGTGCAAAAGTCTTTTACTTTTCTAGTGCATACCCTTACACAACAGTCTAAAGAAAAGGATACTTCAAACACCTTTGGCGCACCATGACAACAGTGCAGTGAAATACTTATAGACCAATCCGAACGCTGTGAGTGATGTGATTAGCATCAGGCAGACCGCCTTTACTTTACAGGACATTTCCTCTTCTACCGTCAGCGGCTGGGTCAAGCTGGGAACTGCAAGTAAACATTTTTAAAGGAGTACTATACTAATACATCACCAATCAGGAGATCCTTGACGGCACGTATGAAATTCTCTCTTTCTTTAACTACATCTAAAGCCCTATGTGTTTTCATTTGACAGTGCATCTTCAGTGTCTTGAATCAGCCTTCTAGGAGGTCGGTGTTTGTTTATGTATGTGTACATATATGTGTTTATGTGTGTGTGTTGTGTTTATGTGTGTACATATGTTTATATGTCTGTAGTTCGCTTATTGATGTATGTGTCTATATGTATTTATGTGTGGGTATACATCTATTTGTAGTGTATATATCATGTGTTTTTGTGTGTGCCATTGTGTGTGTACGTTTTTTTTATGTAGGTACACGTGTTCATGTTCATATATATTTGTTTTTATGTGTACATGTGTTTCTGAATGCGTATACATATGTATATGTGTTGTACATGTGTGTATAGGTGTATGTATGTTTTGTATCTGTACATTTCTTTGCTTGTGTACTTGTATTTGAGTTAGTACGTGTGTTTATGTGTGTGTGCGTATGAATATGTGTGTTTATGTGTGCAAATACGTTTATGTTAATGTTAACTTATTTATATATGTGTGTGTGTGTGTGTGTGTACATTTTCCTGTGCAAAACAAAAGTCATTAAAATGTTCTGATAATATGGCTTTCTTTTCCCCCAGACAATCTTGACGCAGGAGGGTCATTTCATCAACGAGGAAGATCGCGTTCATGTGGACCTCGTTGATTCCAACTTCGAGGAAACACAGGCACGAATAATTAAGTATTTTGACAATGAAAACAGCTATTCCTCAGCAGACGACGAGACAACAGATTTATTCAAGAATCCTGATGGTCACGAAAACTTTCAACAGAATCAGAGACAGCCCGCGTCAAAATCAGAACCTAGGGAAAACAAAAGCATTAACAGAATGCAAACTAAGAACGCTAACCAAGAAAGACATGTCAAGAGCAAGAGTTTTATAACGGATGCAAGTACCAACGTTTTAAACTTATCGAGCAATAATGTCACAGATCAGAGTTTACTATCAAATGGAAACAGCACAGAGGAGGTCAAAGCGATGCCGGATTTTCCCGGCAGTAACCTAAGAGCAGTGGAAACCTTCCCTAAAATAAATGACGTACGACGTATTGAACTTAACGAGGTCACGAAGGAAACAACTAGACATAAATTGTCCCGACATCGACGGAAAGCTCAGAAAACACGTGATCCGCACTTTATAAATAAACTGAAAAAGCCGCACAACCAAGGTATGTTTTATTTTCTGTATGATTACCAGTAAAAGGTCTCTTTTCGACGCCTTCGGGCGTATCGTGAATATAGGAGTAGACCTATTTTTAAGACCAGTCGGCACTTGGTAGGTGATGTGGTCAGCATCACACAGGCCGCCTTTACTTCCCAGGACTGCACCTGGTACCCACTCAAGGCTAGGTCGAACTGGAAGTCAAGGTCGTTTTTGAATAAAAAGTCGGGCTCTAACAGGGTGCGAACCAACGACCTTCCAATTTGCAGGCGGGTGTCTAGCCGCAATCGCCACGGCGACTCCCATATGATTACCAGTGAAGTTAATTAAAGTTTGGATTTGAGAGGGGTGACCTCCAGGTTGATCTAGCCTTAAATAGATACTAGTGAAGAAAGTCATGGGATGTTGACTACATTAACCATCCAGGATCTAAAGACCTATTGTTCTATGCAATAACTGACAGAGAAAGCATGCTGAGGAAGATCAGAACAGGTGTGCTTCGTGCAGAGTGGCATGCTTCGCTGCGGAGGACACGGGTGAGGAGTATTGTCTGGATTTTTTCACACAGCGGCACGTGGTTAGTGCCTTGTGGGAGAGCGTGTACAGTTCGGAGCAGATGGATCACCAGTCTGGTGAGACTGGTGCAGCGGGGAGTGACTAGAGGTTCTGGCAGATGCTCGAGGCTCAGAGGAAAGGCAAGACGGATGTTTTATCAGAATGCTACTGGCACCATTAGTATCGGAACTCTTCTCTCGCTGCTGAAGATGGAGACGGAGCGCGTATGAGAATGCCCCGAGTGCTGTGATGTCGGTTCTTGAATCAAATCAAATCTAATCATGTTCTGTACAAGTAATAGTCTATCCACGTATGCCCGATGCGCCACTGGTGTTTAAAGCGACCTTTAATTTACTGAGTAGGGAAACCGGAACACAATCCCACTGTTATAAAAAAAAGTTCACGACTCTATCACCTATGTTTTACTGGTCTTGTTGGACATTTAAGAAAGTGCATGTAGTTACTTAATATAAGGTAGGTACTTGTACCCCACCAGGAATTTCCACAAGCAATAAACACCGGGTGACACAAAATGCCACCATGCGGATGAGAATCACCCGTGGAGAGGTCCCAGAAACCCCTTTCAGCCGCGAGGCCATATTCATGGCCCGGCTGTATTCAGTGCCCCCCGGGACAAAAAGCCAGGGGGCGGTTTCAAAAAACAAAACAAAAAAATGTATCCCACACGGGGATGACTGTAACTACAATGTTGTATAAGTCAGTGAATCAGTTAATCCATTAATCGAAAGTGTCATGACTGAGTGGTTTAGATCTGAGAATGTATACACAAAATATACATCAAAATAATAATGATGATGATGATGATGATGATAAAAATAATAATAATAATCACGTAGGTTATTGTTAAATATTTTTTTATCATTTCAGAAGGTCGCAACACAGGGGTGAGTATTTACGTTTATCTCTAGCTTTCTTGTTGTGTTGTTGTTGATGTTGGAAATTAAACTGCCTTCTAATAAGCGTGTCGCAGCAGGCGATTAATTGTGATGTGAGCCACTAGTCATAAATCCCCACGTTAACGGTCGGTCGGTCGGTCGGTCGGTCGGCCGGCCTGCCTGCCTGTCTGTCTGTTCCCCCCCCCCCCCCCCCCTTGTATTTAAAGTGATACAGACTGCAACAATGTGTTGTAATGGATACCTAACTTTTCAGTTAAGGAAGACCATATCCGATGCCAAAGTTGCGCAGCAAAAAGAACAAACAATAGAAGCACAGATGTACCATTTCCACAAAGCCCAAACACCCACTCGTGGTACAAAAGCTGTTCATTTCAAAAGTACTTCTCTAGGCATTTTTATTCAGAAATGACCTTGGCTTCCGGGTCGACCCAGCCTTAAATGGGTATCAGGTAGAAGTTATTGGAGGTAAAGGCGGCTGGCGTGATGCTGACCACATTACCACCTGTGCTGTTTTGTCTATAAAATATAGGCCTAGCCCTAAATGTTAAATAAGTCTAAAGACGGGCAAAAAGGTCAAATTTTTTTAAAACCTATTACTTGTCAATGCCTGGCAACACGTGCAATATAACCACATATGTAACTCTTTGATTGGTGCACGCCCTGCAAGGAGTCCAATTCGTGTGTGGGTGCGTGTGTGTAAGAGTGTGTGTGGGGAAGGGGGGGGGGAGGGTAGGGTAGGACATCTGTCGTTTAACTCTTTCTGTACAGACCAACTCACGATACTTTCTTTGATCGTACCAAAGATAACAGAATATCCTTCCAGTCGTCGATCACAGACAGTTGTTATATTCATCCTTTGTATCGAAACTAATAGTTTAACTACTTCTGCCCAAAAGTGTCTCAGAGTGTCCTTTAGGCTTAGTTATTGACTGATTTTAAGGCCTACTCCTTTGAGTGGGAGGTGTTAAAGTATGGAACTGAAAGAGTAAACAAACACATCGTAAAGGCAAATAAATAATAGTTTATTGATATCTGATGTGCTGGGTGGAAAGGCGCCGATATCGTAATCTAGCTGCTAGCCACAAGCCAGTCTAAATTTAAACCTTTTTTTTAAATTATAATAAAAACAAGAAACATTTACTGTATTCTATTTCAGCCTCAGGTGGAAAGCTTTGACATCCCATACTGGAGTGAGTTCTTTCACTATCCGAAGCATTTCATTAGACAAGGTACATCGGTATTGCACGGTAACTAAGCACGCCTGGTGTTAATGTCGTCTGCTCTTGTCTATACCAGGCCACTGGCTACGCTGGCCAGCGGTGACAGACAAACACTGTGGCTGTTTCAACTCGACCACTTAATGTCGACCTTTTGCTGGATTGTTATTTGTATGTATTGTTCGGATTGGTCGAGTGGGACCTTGATGCATGGGCAACATATGGTCTCTACATTACTGCCTAGGCTTTGTACTATGGAATGTTGACAACACTGGTCCTAAAATCCTATGCTATAATTGTGGAAGAATTTTCGGTTAAAGTAACGTTAATCTTCCCAAATAGAGTAGGTCACTTTTCATTCACAAGTTGTTGGTCTGGTCAGCTTACCTGCATGTTACTGGTGTGTCCCGCTCTGTTGTTTGCTTTCTGTCTTGTCTTGCATTTACGTTTTAATTTCGAGAAAGAGAATTCCCTTGACATAGGTTACAGCACTTTATGAAAAGGGGGCGAGGTTGTGTTAAGGCAGTTGCTCCCTGTGTTGGGAGTGTTAAAAGCGCTGGCGTGCTGAAATATACAACACGCGATATCAACGGCATTGCGGAACACCCCCGCAACCTTGTGCCAAGGTGACAGGTTCAGGAACTACCAATCAGAAGTGAGCTAGTGTGTATATGTGCGGGGCGTGGGGAAATTTAATGTTACGTGTACCGACTTTTCTTAACGCGTTCGAGTCTTGCTAGTCACATTCGCCATTACCATGGGTTGTGAGTCCCATGCCTCCGCATAGCGCAGTATAACACTATGGTCTGGAAGGACGAAAAGGTGACAGTCAGTATTTGGATTTACAGTAAGACACAACAACATTGTTTAACCACAGATGAATACGCCAGGAATGTGTGTTATCCCCAACTTATATATATATGCGAAAAACATGTTATATAAGTGGAAGCATTGCCTGGACTGAAAAAAAAAAAAAGTTGCAGTTCTGTGAGCAACCAGAAGAATTTTTCTTAGAAGGTATCGGCAAGGTATCGACCGTCTCCCCAAGCAGCGGGATGAGTGTAGATATGGTTGCTGGACTCCTGCTTTCCCGACGGCTGCTTTCACTCCGTTTGACAAAACAAAACAAAAGCTCGACCACGTTCAGCCTGCGATGCTTTTACTCTGAAGCACCTGATTTTATACCTTGCATGCACTCTCGTGACCTATTGTGGGGGTGAAACTAGAATAGACCCACTTCCTTCCCAACCAGCATGTCTCAAGAGTTGACTAACTGGGAGCCTCCATCGAAGTCGGAGCTCATCTGCCTAAGAGGCAAAGATCCAGCAGTCTGCATAAAAAAAAAGACAGATCTGTAAAATAGATGTACACGCAACACTCAGGTTCTGGAACGAGACTGAAGTCTAGAGAGTGATAAACAACCAGACCTTTCCGTCGGAGTGTAGAGCTAGCGAACGCGGATAAGAAGAAGAAGAGGAGGAAAAATAATAATAATACTATTCATAATAATAATAATAATAATAATAATAATAATAATAATAATAATAATAAGAAGAAGAGAATAAGAAGAAGAAAGAAGAAGAGAAGAAGAAGAAGAAGAAGAAGAAGAAGAAGAAGAAGAAGAAGAAGAAGAAGAAGAAGAAGAAGAAGAGAAGAAGAAGAAGAAGAAGAAGAAGAAGAAGAAGAAGAAAGAAGAAGAAGAAGAAGAAGAAGAAGAAGAAGAAGAAGA